GAGAGAGAGAGAGAGAGAGAGAGAGAGAGAGAGAGAATGAATGTTAGAGCTGAATCTGTCCAGATTAAATTCACAGATGTTAGAGATTATGTCTGTGTATACTGTAATTTCTGTTGACTCAGTAATTTTCACAGAATGGAACATAAATATCCATTTATGTTAAAACAGTCTGAAAGATACCTTGAGATGAACTTTAAGATAATTACTGTATCTAATATTGCCATCTTTTGTGGCCTGGAAGTAATTTTTAACAGTTTCACAGTCTCTGGTAGCTTGATACTGTTTTGTTGTTACTGTTTATTTTTATTTGCTTGATTTGTTTACTTGTTTATTTATTTAAAGACTGGGTCTTGCTGTGTCCTGCAGGCTGGCCTCAAACTCTGGTCTTGCCTTAGCTACCTGAGTGCTGGGTTTATAGGCTTGCATCAACATCCCCTGCCTTCTGCTTGCTTTCCTTTTTATTTAGGAATAACTGCAGAGTTTCAGGAGTTGGCAAAGGTAATTTGGACAGGTCTTGTGCATGCTTCACCTAATTTTCCCCAACAGTTATATCTTATATACCTATTCTATTATCAAAACCAAATTGGCTGGGGATGTGACTCAGTGGTAGCGCCTGGCATGCAAGAGGCCCTGGATTGAATCTCCAGCACCGCACACGCACACACAGAGCCAAGAAATTGATGGGACTTTGTACATGCTAGGGAAACATTCCACCACTCACCTACATCCCCAGCCCTTTCAGTGTGTATGTGTATCTGTTTTTATCATACACACACACACACACACACACACACACCCATATAGGGTTGATATAAAGCCACTCAAATAAAGATACAGAAATATTCTGTTACTATTGTTTTTATAGTCACGCCCATCGTTAGCACCAGCCTTGCCCACTATCCCTGACCCCTGTTCTTGTGTGTTTGCGGGGTGTACTGGGGTTTGAACTCAGGGCCTCATGCTTGCAGTTGAGCCACTCCACCTATTTGTTCTTCATCTCTATAATTCTGTCATATTAAGACTGTTATATAAATCAACTATGGTGGCACACGCCTGTAATCCCAGAACTTGGGAGGCTAAGGTAGGAGGATCCAAGCACTCAGGACCAGCCTGGGCTACATAGCAAGATCCTGTCTCAAAAAATACATTAAAGGGGGTGAATACAGGAAGAAAAGTCTATTGTTTTGTCCTACGTTTTTACTTTTTTCATTGTTGCTTCTTCTCTTCTAGGGCAACAAGTTCTCTGAGTTCTTTCATCTGAGTGTTCCTCATTGGTCCTTCATTCTTGAAGGGTAGATTAATATATTAGCTGAATGTAGAATTCTCGGTTGCCTGTTCTTCTCTTTCAGTACTTCAGTAATAATGTGCCACTTCCTTCTGGCCTCAGTGATTTATTAATGAGAAGCCTAACTGTTGTTCACATTGTCATGTTCCCCCCTACCCCCATTTGTTTGTTTATTTTGGTACTAGGGTCTGAATTCAGGGCTTTGTACTTGCTAGGCAGGCAGTGCCCATGACCTCCAGTCCTTTTTTGCTTTAACTATTTTTCATATAAGGTCTCACATTTTTGCCCAGGATCAGCCTTGGATTGTGATCCTTGTACCTACACCTCCCGTGTAGTTGGGATTACAAGCATGTAACCCCAATGCTTCTGATCGCTTCATTAGTGGGTAGATACTAAAGAGTTTTGTCATTCTCTACAAGAGGGTGTGTGTGTGTGTGTGTGTGTGTGTGTGTGTGTGTGTTTAACCTACATCGTTTATGACATTTTACGTGCTTGATCCTTTTATATTTCTCTATGCCAGCCTTTTTCTTTCTTTTTGGGGGTGCCATTTGAGCTTTGTGTTTGCAAGGCAGGCACTCTACCACTTGAACCATGCCTCTAGCCCTTTTGACTCTGGTTATTTTGGAGATAAGAGTCTCACTTTTTGCCCAGGCCAGCTTGGAGGACCATCCTAATATTTTAAACTTCCCGCCGTTGCTGAAATGATAGGTGTGTGCCACTACCCTCAGCTTTTTTTTCGTTGAGATGGAGTCTCACAAACTTTTTGTTTTGCCTGAGTTTGCCTGGAACCGTGATCTTCCTCATCTCAGCCTCCTGTGTAGCTTGGAGTGATAGACAAGTGCCACTATGCCCAGATATTGGTTGAGATGGGGTCTTGCAACTAATTGCCTGATCTGGCCTTGAACTGCGATCCTTCCAATCTCAGCCTCTCTAGTAGCTAGGATTGTATGAGCCACCAAAGCCTGGCTCTGTGCCATCTTTTGTTTATGTAGAATAGATACAAATAATTTGAGTAGTTTTGAAGCAGTATTTGCTTATAAACCCTTAAATGTGTCCACTAATTAAAGAAGCTACATTTTGTTCTCTGCAATAAATATATATTATATACACATAATAAAGAATAAAATAATCCTAATGACCAGAGATAACCACTGTTAACATCACATGTATGTACGTTTTATTTTCTAATGCAGTTACTGTTATATTTAGCAAGATTATATATCCTGCTTTGTTCACATAACAATGTTTTGGCTTATTAATGGGAATGTAATGTTTTGGTTTTTAATTGAATAGCTAGAGTGTAGGTTAGTTTCCTGTGTTGTACATATCTTTTATTTTCAACTTTGTGCCATTTAAATGACATTTTTTAAAATTTGGTCAGCCTTTGTGATGATTTCTATAGATTGTAGTCCTAGATGCATGGTACCTCCAAGATGATATAAAGTGTGAATTTAGTGTGTCTATTCATTTGAACCATGTTTTTTTCTTAGTACATAATATGGATGGGAAGCCAAATTATAAACTTTCTTACTATTTAAATTTAGAGTTTCTTTGCAGTCTAATGCATAGTACTGTAAATGTAATGAGTATGACATTTTAGTTACTAATTTTTGGTCATGAAATTATGGAAAATAAGGCTTGCTCTAAAGATGGTTTATGGTGATTGTTGCGAGTTTATTGTATTCCAAGGATTTTCTCTGGAATCAAATTATTAAATAACTGCATAGTTCAATAAGTTGCCAACAAATCATTGAGTAGTTGTATAGCCATGCAATGAAAGCTTATACAGTCATCAAGCATGATACTTAACAAAAA